TAACTAGGATGACCCTGCTTGATGGAACACTATTCATAAGGTCATCCGCGATCGGTTTCGCGGTCCCTCAGGCTCACAAGTTAAGCTTAGACTCAGCGTTTTGGTCAACTTCGAACCAGAATTTCGCACAGCTTGTTAACTAGAACCTTTCACGTACTAATTTGATTTTGGAGTAACTTTTATTCAGTTCTGGACTATCATGATCTTTGGTTTATGTTAATTCAGCATAGAAATCAGGAGGTTCTCACCAAACTATGCTTGACCGTGCCAACAGTTTGCGGCTTTTAAACATCCAGCTTGAGAAAAAAACGCTCAAGCAGGACTCAAGATTTCAACCATAGCCTAGTGAGTGGTTGAGCCCAAATGATTCATTTAATTCAGCATTACATTAGGAACGATCTGTAATGCGACACTCCCGGTACTTTCCTTCGGAGAACGCATATTTTATTGAATAGTGAAGGTTACTGTTTGAACTGATGCACGGCTGTGCGAACCAAAGGTGGTCTGCAGCATGCCTTTTGAAACAAGGTGAAAGTTAGGTCTGAGTTGTGCTCCACAGCTCTTCACTTACAAGTCATATCGGTCTCACGCTTAAAGCTGCCCTGGATATCTCCAGGCATTTGGGTTTCTTCCAGGCTTCAAATATCTTTGATGTTCCCCTCAGGTCGATGTTCACTTAAACAGCCAGTCCACACGTGAGATCACAGGAAGTGAATCCAGTGGATGGGCGATGAGTGACGTCATGTCTTGTCTAAGTGAGATCTACTCACATTTTCGATCAGTCTCTCGTGCCCCAACGGTCAGGTATTCAAACAACTAGCTGAGTTTTGGCGGGTTCGAAACTCCCTGGAATTCCGTGAGATGCGCACTGCTGATGATTCCTAATAAGGATGAAACAGCTGTACAGTGCTTCTCGGATTTCCACCATAGATTCGCTTCCCTGAGAAATTTCCCACTCTCCTCACACTACCAACAATGTGGCATTCATCGTATCGTTGTTTGATTTCGATCTTCCTTTCAAACAAAGTAAAGTACTTGAAAGTACTTGAAAGTTTGGGGGTGTAAATTATCATAAAGCGGCTTGAACTGTGGCCAGCGAACCATCCATTCTTCATGTATTGATTCGAGTACGTTAATTCGCTTCACAATCAGTACCTTCGGTCACCTACGTCTACCTGTCACACTGACAGAACTTGTTTAGCCTACATCTCAACAGATTTTCATACCTAATGCGTACGAATGTATTGACGTTCTGGAAGAAATCAGGGCACGCGTAGCACGACGATTTACCACACTAACAACAAAACGGGGCGATGTCTAATCCTGATGTTTTACAGGATGGAGCGTAGGATGGAATGCATGGACCTACTTCAACTAAATAAATCTGGTGATCTAGACCTCCAATTACACTGAGTTAGTGGACAACAGACAACATTGGGGTGCCTTCTGTTGGACACAGTGTTGAACTGATGACCACACATTTCATTTCGTGTGAGATACTATCAGAACTAGTGTGTTTTCTGAGATTTCTCATTTTCGTTCGGTTCGAGATCTTCAAATTTAAAAGCAAAAGCAGTAAACCATTTTGCGCTATATTCAGCCTTTCCATTAAAAAACATACATGATGGCCTGTAACTTGCGCTTAGGATGCTAAGGTCTCATAACGGCATACACTCAAGCAACTGTGAAAATATTTGACCTTATTGATCATTCTGAAGACAGATTGTGCTCTTGTAGACAACAACAATGATTGCGCAAAATAAAGTTTCGAGTTCTACCGAAAGATTTTCTTTAATGAGGTGATCGCTCCATCTAGCTCGCCAAACGGTTCGCTTTTTTGCTTTTCCAATCTGTGTCGCGTTGTGGTTTGCCTGTCTTGTGTTCGGTTGGCCTGTTGAATACCACTCACTTTGTTCACCCTATCCTGACCCATTTGCGCATAAGCTGTCCACTTGCGACATAAGCTGCGTTGTTGTCAGTTTGTCTGTTGTTCTGTTAAATGTTTATTTGCTCTATTGCACCCGATCCGTTTGAGCTTTCCGGTCCGTCTCTATGCGCTTGGTTGGGTGCTCGCATCAAATCGGTCATGCTGTTCACTTGCCCCTGTTTCAATTGTTGGTTTGGATTCGCGCATATCCGTCCAGTTCCCTTCAAATTAAGATTTCATTCTAACTCTTATGTTGGTTTCACTTTTTCTTCTTTACGCTACGCTCGAAGCAGTGCCGTCCCACATAAACTGTCTTATTCTTCCATCGGTGTTCAGAACAGTATTTGTCCTGTAAACTCACCTAATTTATTCAAACAGGTATCTCAGTTAAATCTGCTTAAAAAATTCGATTTTTCACCATTATCTGCAAAAAGAACCAAATCAAATGAGGATATGGGATGCATGTTTCTGATGATCGTGCTGCATAGTTCACCATTAGCTTCGCTAAATAGCCTATGAGTCGAACAACTTAAAAGTTCGAATTCCGGGGACGGCATCCATGATATGGTAAGTTGGGAAGAGTGCAGCAAGCCATCACTTATAGTCACTATGTGGAGTCTACTGATATATCAGGGTGCATTAACTTACGTTGCTGCTATTTGATTGCATTCCGTATCACTATACAACTTCTACAAGGCCACAATCATGGGTTTGTTTTGGTGAATGTTCTCTAGGGTCTGCGAACATCCATCCAAATGGGACAGCTTAAATTGAACTTCTCACAGTTGTTATTTATACTTTCCTATTCATGGTACAAGGCAATATCCTAGGTGATCCGATTAGCCTTATGGTGTCCGTAACTCGTACGAGGTCAAGGTGCCTAATCCACCCTCATGTATCTCGAAAGTTGCGAAGAATGCAGCAACTGTTGCACATATTTTGTGCAGACTTCTAGACATGATGCCTGGTTTAGTCTAGAATGCCATAGGTTTAGTTTGGACATGCTGCGTCAGATACCACTCCTTCTACTTTAAGCGCATATGAGATAAGCAGTGGTGCACACCCCACCTTTTTTGCCGACTCAGTCGTGCTGATATGATGGCCAATCGATACACCGGATCTTATTTGAACGAAGATAAACCGCGTACCATTCTCTAGCTGAATCGAAGGATCTGTGCGATGCATTCAGAGCGTGCTTACATGATCACCGTCACTCATAAACTGCTTCCACCCTCACATTATTTAGCGGTAGAGCAATAGACAACATGAATACAGTGGCCCACACTCTTTAAGTCTAGCTAAGTTTGTTATTTTTCACACCCGTCAACGGCATGATGCTCATCCCTACTGAAAACGAATGGGAAATAGCGTATGACTCTATTTGTTTTGTGGTCTAAAGTTGTCAGGAGGCAATCCGCTCGAAACAAGTGAACATCATGCGGGTTGGACAGACATGTCGCCAGCCCGTGAAGGGGAGAACGAGGGCGTGTCATGATTGGTCGGAACGTCAGCCAATCACGATGGGGCGTTCATACATGGCGCTTTTGGCTCCCTAGCGAAGAGGTCGGAGTGACCTTGAGGAACATATTTTGGCAACCAATAAACTAAGATGTGAGAATTTCCCTGCGCTTCCATAATTGGTCCTCTCAAGCAACGTGCCTTTTGAGATGCCATGGTGACCGGAACAGCTAACCAAGGGTAAGCATAGGAGTTGCGCAATCGCCCGCATTACTACAGGCTGAAAACCGACTAACGACCACAGTGGTCAATAGACGACGACATTCATTTTTAATTCATAACTAAAAAATATGGTAATATCGGCAAATATGTCTTTTGCTAAACAGAAAAGAAAGCTGCATTCGTACCGAAACCTACGTAATGGGCATTTCAACCAAGAGAATACAATAAATTCGGCTGTTTTAGCTGTTTCATCCAGCTGTACAGTGCTTCTCGGCTTTTCAGCATAGATTGGCTTCACTTACAGGACGAAATCCCACAAAAGTCCCAAATCTCCTCACACTACCAACATATCAAGAGTATTTGGTCCATAGCAAGTGAACCTGTAGTACACAGTCATGTACCATCTGCCCCCTCTGCACAGCACGTTAAATTAGATCCCACTTACGCTTTCCAACTTAACAAAATATGCTGGTTCGTCGGGTCTGGCGTAGTCCAAAAACGTACTATGGATATAGCCGTCCTACTTTCGAGGAGAATACGCATTCACAATCTGACTTGGGTCCAGTTTTTTAAACGTTTCATCATCATCGCATTCCCCACGATGCACCGTTTTTGGTCGAACGAGTTGCACCAGTGCAAACTCGGTGGAATAACTAGAGTGGCCATAAATAATTCCGTGGTTGTCGAGACAGGCGGTATGAACTTTTAAGCAAGCATTGGAATCAGAATAAAGAAGCAATCTCCAAACCGGCTTACCTTTGATGGATTTCGAGAGAGCTTTTTGTTCAGTATGCTTATCAGTAAGGGAGAATTGCTCAATTTGCACTGGAGAAGCCAGAGACCTCCACTCATCAGAGGAAATGCAATCAGGAAATTTGTTAGTGCACAGTTTTATACATCTCTCTAGACCTATCAATTTATTTACGGATAATCAACATGAAATCCTAACTGTGTCATGGGACGGCTAGTGAAAGTTCGATCAGGTAATCCTGATTTTCGCTCTCTCGAATTCTCCATCCTCCCTGTTATTATTATTATCATTATTATTATTATTATTATTATTATCGTCATCATCAGCTGTAAAATCCACGTATTTTTCGTATGGTTATTTTAGCTGACACAGTTTCGTTCACGATGATTTCGGGAGATGGGGCAGATAGCTTTACATTTGAGGCTGCTGTAAGCAGAATCTCTACGGAAATCCCCATTATCTTGGCTCCCGTACATTCACAGGCTTCCCTTCTATTTAAATCCGTAAATTACTGTGTTGTGCACTTTGTACCTGTCGTTTTTTCAAGGTTATTCGTGCTAGTTACATTCCTCATTGGCGTAAATTGACTGAAGCCAGCATCTTCTCTTCAGTCCTATGAATTAAACAAACACTGAATGGAGATGTTTATTCATTTGCTTTGAAATCATAAAGCAACACAGCATAAAAGTTCTGCTCGAAATAAACCATTCAGACAAAGTAAACTTTCCGAACCGTTTATCGTCCGATTCAAACAAAGACATGGTACAACTGATTAAACTCAGGTAGAAAGTGGGACGAAATTCGTAAGTTTCTTCCAGTCATTGCCTGTTAGCTCAGTCCATATTCCACGCAAACGGGAAGATGATATTTTCACTGTATGCGCTTAACAAATTTGAAAATGGAGCAGAGGTCGACCGCTTCTTCCAGAAGAAGTTTCGCTCCCTCGTCAACTCATTGCGCCATTCATATCTGATTCCTGGGTACAAGTTGTCCTCAGAAGACTGGAAACTATTCAGTCAGAATCTTCAAGTTCTTTTATTCTGTTGGCTCACCTGATTTTCGCTTGCAGCGTCCAGTGGTACGCCATGGGCTGAGTGATGAAGAAAGAAATGGAGACAACTATTTAGCGATAACAATAATAGGTTGAATGATGGCGATAGTCGTGGCGACTATGGTGAGACGCTGACGATCACAACGACCGAATTCTTTAGAAAAACCCCAAGGAAGATAAAATCCGCTACCAGAGGCCTTTTCTCCTTGCAGTTCCTTATAGAAGAACTATCGAATGGGCAAAAAGTTCCTGTTTGCAACTCGGAAATTCCTAATAACTTCAGAAAGTGACGGATAGTCCTTCTGTTACTCATCTGCGGGTCTACTAATGACAATTTTGCCAACTGCCTGTTTAAAGCAAAGTCTGTCCCACTGTCAACCGTATGGAAGTTGCCAACTGATATCAAGAAAACTGACTACCCACATCTGATGGCACTAGTATCTCACCTGCAAGTAACTGCACTTTCACTGTGCCATCGTGGGGACCAGTCCATACCATTGAGATTAGGCTTGGGCTTGTTCACACATGGGGTGAGCAAACGCGAAGGCAAGAGGTATCCTCAGCCAGGATATTGGCATACCGTCTAAAGGCTTTTCCGAAGTACTTGTTTACTACAGCATAATTGCGGCCTTGCTAACCAACACACTACTGCCTGAGTAAAGTGTGGAGACTCATAGGTTATTTAAGCGTGGAATTCACATCTGTGCCCACGCCTGCCTGAGTCAATCACCGGATTGCGCAACTGACACCTCACCTGAAAATACTGCAGCATGCCTCTCTTATCATACTATCATAGCGGTGTTCCACTTCTTTGATTTTTTGATGCTGAATGACTCATATCAGTATCTCGTAGAAATTTTAGAATAAAAAAGATGCTCAAACCCTGAACCGTTTAAAGCATACCGGTCACTTTGACTGGGTTTTTGTCACGGATTGTTCAGCTGTAACACCCTTTGGGTACCTAGCTGCCATGCAACCCGAAGGAAGCGCGAGGGCTGGGATATTGTTCACTTTGACCGATAATTCATTTGACTTTTTTGAGCGAACACTTATCCTGCACCCACCAATGACCCAAACAATGGCTTGTGTCTGGGTACGCTGCAACTCATTGTCTGGGTCCTGCTAAATTTGCGCTACTTCCATTAGTAGCGAGTAGTTAGTGAATCCAAATAAAAAACTACTAGAACACAGACTCCTCTCAGTAAGTTTTGCTGCCAGAGCCCAATCGGTGGAACTCCAAGTGTCCTTAGTGCAAGCGCGACTTTTTTCTAGTTAGACCTACTCTCTAGATGTTGAAAGTCTGCGATCAGTGCTTTCAGTCCATCATGCGCACCCCGCAGCTCTTCTTCCTCCAGTCCCTCTTGGACGTACCAGTGGACGAAAGCTCGTTTACGGTGTAGATATTGAACTTTATGTGCGACGGATTGTAGAGCTGGAACGAGTAATGTGGAATTGTATAGGCCGACAACCGAACGACTGCACGGAGCCAAACCACTTTGTGGCACGGTCGTGGGAGGTTGCAAACATAGTCCAATCTGAAAAAAATGACAATCGACAAGACAGATTTCATTACTCTTTTCGAAGTAGTACACCATACTGAACCACCGGCGAACGCACCGGTGGTCTGAAATCGTTTGCTGCAGATTTAGTTCTGATATATATATATATATAAAGATTTGTTTGTCTTCCAGAGACCTCATTCTCTAAGGAAGCAACTGGCAGGAGATATCCCTTTTGGTTGAAGCCCCTTGAAGCCTTTATCGAAGTGTGGGGTTTCTGAATAGCCATCTCTCGGGCCTTGCCAGGGACTAATTTTGCAAAGTCCATCTTTTTCTACAAGTTCGACGTGCAACCAGGTGTTCACTATCCTCCAACATGTGCTCGCTGAGAGTTCCTTTGGGTCGAGGCGATCACACCACACGAGTGGCTCTCTAACGACTAAGTGCGGGCAAGGTAGAGACCAGCGATAGCAATATTTTTTCAATCACGTGATATTTTCCATTGGAACAGCATTACTGTCTGTGCGTATGATCAGTAAACGGAGTAGTCATTTGGGATCATCAACGTCATCATCATCATCATCATCATCATCATCATCGACAACATGACATCAGTTTTGAACACCGATGCTTCAGTGCCGTACAACCATGATTTAGTTGAAAGCCTTATTGTATAGAAAAGAGTAAAGGTGGAAGGGGAAGGAACTTAGTGCCAGCTTACCACAATCATTCCGAGGTGCCTACACCTCCAGACATTCACTCAGGCAATCTGGATAGAAACTGACAACAAGAACGCCACTGACATCGGTTGACAGCCATATCTTGTAGTGTCTCCAACCAGGCACAGTGAGCATCACGCGGTCCCCATCCTGGAAGGCGAGTAGCACCGACAGCACCCAAGCGTTTCGTGATCTCCTTCATACTCCTCTGCCAGGTCATGGGTTGGCCACCTCTCTGTTTACGCCACTCCGAATTGGGCATGGAAAACAGTACTCTCTTCGGCAAACGATGGTTCGGCATGCGTAAAACATGTCCCAACCAACGCAGCTTCTGGTGCTGGACACATTCCTTAATAGAAGTACCCGTTGCAAAACCGAAAACACGCTTCCTAACTGCCTTGTTACGGATTCGTTAACATCAACCTACAGGAGCTATGGTTCTGAGACAACGATTGTCGAACACCTGAAGACGTCTCAGGTCCGCTGCTCGAATAGGCCAAGTTTCACAGCCATACAACAAAACAGCCCGTACTGTAGCTTGATACACACGTCCCTTCAGATTCAGCGATAAACCATTCTGACGCCATAGGTGTCTCAAATTAGCAAACGCGGCCCAAGTCTTGCAGATTCGTGCATTCACCTCATCTGTCACACTACAATCAGAATTAATACAACTTCCGAGATAAGCAAAACGCTCCACAACTTCCAGTACCTCTCCTGGATTGTAAGTGGCGTGTTCAGTGACTGCACGTCCACGAGCATGACGTTACTCTTTGTAGGTGCAAGTTGCATACCAAAGGATGAGATGACTTTGGTTAGACCGAAAACCTTCGTTTATAGCTGATGTTCTAAAGTTTATGCTCCTACGTTCATTTCACTAATCAGGTATTCGCTTCCTTGTTTGTCTCTTAGCAGAGCATGACCTACACTATATCATCCCACACCTTTTCAGTCCAACAGCCAGCCTACAGGTCGAAACACATTGTACCAGACGAACCGTCGTTTAAGCGGCAATCTGTCAGGCACAAAAACAAATTGGATGTATGTAGACGCTGAGAATTTATTCCACCCGTCGGTCAGTGTGGCCCCGACCATAACCACCTACACAACCGGGCTGTTCAAATCGATCGATCAAAATCCATATGGAGAGAGGCCACCAATAGACTGGAATATGCCATTTGCAGAATATGTCGGACAACAATTATGACCAAATTTCTCTCCTAACTCTGACCTACATTTAAACAAAATCCGAGTAGCCTATTTTCGAAATTGATGAAGGAAACTGGACTAAAGAACCCTACTTAAGTAATCCTTCAACATCGGTACGGTATTTAACATGCGTCCATTATAGAGATTACAGATGGAGATCCCGTGGCTGGGCATCAAATTTGAAACGTGACTGGCGAGTTTTGAGGGGTGGTGTGATTCGTGTACCACAGCAAAACCACACGGAATTTGCAGACATGGCGCGAAGTTAGATCCCTGTAGGTCAACCTGATGAGCGATTTCACGATTAAATACACTTGTGGTGAAAAACAACTGGTTGTATCCGAACACAGGGCCTGATGATTAGCTATAACGGAAAATTCTGACTATTCATCGGTAGTCTAATGTTTGCTTCACCAAGTCAAAATCTGGAGTTATGTATCCATTCACAAATCAAGTTGGCTTCAGTGGGCTATCAGATAAGTCTTGCATTCATAAGTATACTCATTTGCAAACCAATATGGTTTTTCGGGGGACTCACCTGGAACCCGGCTTAATCTCTCGCTTATGATGTTTTTAAGCAACCTTATGAATAGTGTAGTGCGTCTATACAAGTATCTCGATTATCGTGCCAACGGAAACATTAGACGGCCTGGTGCAGCACATTCAGTTGCTTGAAAACATCATAGACTAGAAATTCAGCTGCGTTTCAGGTAGGTCTCCCGCAAAACCAAATTGGTTTACAAGTGAGTGTATTTTGCTAATTTTGTGCAATTTGGGTTCAAGTAGAACATAAGATTGACGGAAACTCGGGGACTGTACCTACCTGATGAGCCGTAAAAAGGGCGGAACCGCTCGTGGGCTAAGAATTTTCAGCAACCTTATGAGTAGTATATTAACTCTCATATGCACTTACCTTCCGGTGAATGTGATGCACAGTGACAACCCTTTGCTTCAACAGGCACGATATTCGAGATACTGAAATATACTGCTCTGGTACGACACTTGACTACTAATGCGGTTGATGAAAACCGTCCTGCTACCATTCTTGGGGTCCATCACGCAGACCTCGTCCCTCATTTTCTGTTTCTATGTAAGTGGTGTTATGACCATTTCTACGTCCCCAATATACAAACTGAGTAGCACTCACTTCCCTTGGGGCGGCAATATAAAATAGAACGGATGAGACGTCTGAGGAGCAGGAGGAGCAAGTGCAAACAGAACAACGGCGTCGAAACGAAGGAAATTCCACACGCTCCCACAAATTAGACGTGGTCGAAGATGGGTCAAAGATTGAAAGCCAAACATCTGGTGCGATATGGGGCAAAGGAGGGCACGGACGCAAGTGGTTGTCTTTAGACAAACAAAAACGTTAGAAAACAGGTTTTGCCATATACACAACCCGGTACTGTTGAAGTTATGGCATAGACAGTCTATGGTTACCTGAAAATATGCAGTTATAGAATCCTTGACCTTTTTAACCCGTTAGATCCAAAAATAGAGCACTTCAAACATAACGACTTTAATCAAAATGTCAGTTTCACTGAAAACATTCAGTACTAAGTCTCGGTTGATCGCTGAAAGTTGCTGCAAACTCTACTGTTCGTTTTTGCCGAATCGATAACCATCCAGGTAAACAAACCTAACTGTAGATCGAACGCGGGTCATCAGCAAAGACAAAACTGGAAAGGCTTCCACAAATCACATATTCTTTGGCACTGGCCCTTCCTTTGAGAATCTGCATAGAGGTACTGTCAAACAGTGTAAGTGTTGCGATAACAGCACGAATAAAAGGATCCGCGTGACCGCTTGTTATCCCGATGACGCCTATTCCGATTCAGTCAACTATCGATCGGCTATTAATCGACTAACGTTAGCCAATAGCATCATTGTCAACTTACTTTAAACCCAGTGGGACACCAAGGGACCAATTGGACTGTACCACGAATTTTGAGTTTTGCAACGGCATGCCGAATTTCTTGTATAGCAATATCACCTCGACATAACAAGGCACAAGCAAGGACATGGGTTTGATTAGGATCCCCTGTGAGCAGTTGCGTTTCTGGACTGAACAGCGAGGTGGTGAGTTCGTGCATATTCACCGCTGGAATGCAATTAAACCTTTTTAGTTAAAAAAACATCTTGGTGAAACGTCTTTCTCGTTTTCTCTAGGTTGGAAGCGAAAGAGCTTATGATCGTAATCTACTGAAGACCACTTCCATGTGCCCATCTGTAGTATCTGTAATCCGTTGTCATATATTTACCATTAATCCCGAACTTAAAATACATTTTGTAACTGTCGTACATATTTTACGACGAAGTTTGTTTTAATGTTACCAATACACAATTTTTCGGCGCGACTTGCTGACATCTTGTTGAACGAGTGGATTTACGCTCCGTTGGACTGTTTGCTGACTGCTGAATCAGTGGGACTAAATCTCTCTGTTTGTGTGAACTGTTGAACGTCACATTAAATCCCCGTGACATTTTTCAGCCGTGAATAACTTTCCTATCGTGGAATATATCACTCACACGTCAATCATCTGTGGGAAATTTCTACAAGTGAATATTTCTTTCACAGCCGGTTACTGCATTTGGATCGGTGTAGTGGACTATTCGATCAACGCATTCGTGAGTCCTCATTCGACTACTCATTCTTCTGTTAATGTGATTTTGTATTGATTGCTTGTTAATTTGTCCGAACACGCTGATAAGGCCCTAGCCCACTACAGATCCACCATTCCAATCAAGACGATCTCAACTGAACGCTAACACCTAATGTTTAGCTGTTGATTTGTCGGCTCAGCTTGGTCGTCGGATTGCAAACGTTTCATTACAAATCGAAGTGACATCACCAGAGCAGTGACAACCGGAAATCAATAAATTTCTCATTCTGATGAGGTCCAAATGTAAGCAGAGTGAATTTGGGCGAAATTTGACTGTGAACTGGTTACATTCATCAACAGGTTCTTGGAGAGCAAGCAGGATCTAGATGTTTCATTGTCCAGGTGGACTTAGTAATACTTACCTAAACTTAACTTTTCCAAGGAAAAAGTAGCTGCAATGTACTGTATCCATGGATGGAGGTGTACGAATATATGAACAGTAAACCAGAAGTTTTAGTATTACGACAGATTTTTCCCTGTGGTGTTTTTCTGTCTAGTAAAGTTGAATAAAGCATGTTCACGTTATCTATGACACTATGGTCCAATTATGGTCGTTTTCACACACGTATATGGGTGTTTTCCAACTTTTTGCAGGCTAAAAGGAGAGTTGACTTATTGGACCTTCCTGGATGGAATCCAGAAACTATCGTTCATCGGGCTGTTCAATCCCCATAATTCACTGTGTAAAAGTAAATCAGTTTTTTTTTCAAATTAAGGAATCAAATATCAGTGAGATCTTGTGCATAAAAGTGTCTGTGTAACTAATAAACTTTGAAATAGACCACCACGGGGGGGACCCTCTTCAGCCATATATCTTTGGAGCTTATCACAGAGCTTGGAAGTAGTCAGTAAGCTGGCGTCTTCACATGTGGCTCTTCAGAGCGACGTTAGGGTACACTGTTGATCTCCCGCAAAACCAATTCCACCCACTCTCATGTGTCACTTAGCTAAATGCCATGGAGAAACTGACAGAAGATGAGGCAAGACTTCGAAAATTCTGTATTGTACTCACTGGGTTGTACGGCAGCCAGCTGGAACAATTTTCAATATTCTGCCAAAAAGCAGTGAGTTATGAGAAACTAGTTTTCATGAAGAAACTACTCAACAAGGTTGCCGAAAACTCTCCGATAGTCCACGACCGGTTTCGTCCTTCTTAGGGCTCATCAGTAGTTTCCTTCATGAAAATATACCGCGATATCTCGGATATCGTGCCAACTGAAACATGAGGCGGCCTGTGTGCAGCACATTCAGTTGTAGAATATCATAAACGAGAGATTCAGTTGAGTTGCAAATGAGTGTATTTCTCAGAAACTAGTTTTGTTTTCAGTCCGGATGGACAAACCACTGAGAGTGATACTGCTTTAGATTCGGGGAAAAGCACTGCTGTTGAAAACCCAACGTGTCTTAGGCTTTTGGACTGCAAGTGGTTCATCTCTCTTCCAGCAAGTCTGTGTTGGAAATATTGGGCAAAATCGTTTGAAAGTGGCAAATGAAATGCAGGGAATGCACTCGGATTGCATACTTTGTCACGACAGCACACCGAAACAGCCTAATGAGATATCTGGTCGTTCTGATAAAAAAGGTCTGGTTTTGGTAATCAATGACCTATATCACGTGAGGGTGTGGAAGCTTGCCTGTGGTAATACACTGATGTGACACCATAAAACTATTTTCTAGACCGGGTGTGATCACTCCTCGTGGGTGCTCGACAAGCCATTTGGAGTACTATCGAGTCGCCTTCATTTTAGACCCAAGAAATCGTTCACCCCGTGAGCCAAGTATACCTCTACCCATAAAAGTTCACCATCAAAGACCTATGGTAGAGATACTGCTAACAACCATGCCGCCTTATCAATTCACCAGTTACCTCATCGCTGGGATGCCACAAGTTCCCCAGTTATTTTTCAAGAAAACATATTTTTAGGGTTAAAACACAGGTCCAGCAGTGGTCAATAATCTGGTAAGGCAGATTTGGAAAGTATAGAAGGTTAGGATTCACAAAGACGCCTTTTTTTCAGTTTGACGGAGGGGCTTATTATCCCTCAACTGTCCAATGTCTGATGCAACGCGGAAGCGTTCAGTTTTCGGGTACCTTCCCCTCGGATGATCACGGTGTAAAAATCTTGTGAATAGAGGCAAACCTGAACGGAAATGCAACCACAGAAGATGTAAAAAAAAGGTCTACGGGATACAGACGCGATGAGAGGTAAAATAAAGGCTGCATTGTTTAAAATAGGTGAAGGTGGTCTACAGTCCTTGAAACCGAATATATTCCACGAAGAAGCCATCCAACTGCAAAAAAACTGAATAACAGTTAGACCGGAATTCTCTACATGAACGGGAACTTCACAACGAAAGGTTAAACTGGAAAGGATACCAGTGAAAATCAGTTCACAACTCACTCTCGTGCATATATACTTCACTTGATGTGATGGGTGCCATAGAAGCCTGTAGATAATGAAGCCGTGGAAATGGAACCAGGTTGGTCTGTAGCTGTCCGAGGCTAGCTGTCAGTGGCCCCGCAAACCTCACAGCAGCCGTCATTCCACTGGTGACCTGAAGTTGTAGAGTATTCGAGTTGATTATTCCTAAAGTTGGCCGCGAACATGTCTTACCAGTTGGTTTAGACGTTCAAATCGATCAAAAATAGCGCAAACATGCTACACGACTCCAATCCTAGGTCAGCTCCAAACAAGTTCGTGTACTAGTACATACGAATGCGTCGGTGTTCTGTCACCTGGTGAAGATCAAGCGTTTAATCGCAAGTTTTTTTCCGTCGTGGATCTTTTGGTTACCAAGAGCACTTTTATGCGGGAAAATGTACTTCCTTGTGTGATCACTACGTTATATGGACACTACAATTTGGGACAGCGAAACGATGCCATTAGCGTATTCTAGATCATCGTCCGTCCAGGTTGCTTGAGTTAGTTAGTCTGTCAGTGGTGACAGGCAAGCAGTAAGTGCACTTTCCTCTTTTGGTTGTATGGAACTTTTCGTGTATCAAAAGTGATTTTGTTAAAATGCCACAGACTACCAACAATCTATAAGTAATTCAGAAATGGAAATAATTCATACAACCGGTGAAAATTCCATCTAAAGTGTTGTCAGCGGTTGAGCCAGTCAGCACTCGATCAGTTGCTGTGGATTCCATTCTAGGATTGAAAAAAGAGTGGGATTTTTATATTGTCTAAGTGTGAGTTACTCAAAATATCTATCGACCGCTTGGACTTCAACTATCAACCGAGAGGTCCCACATTGCGGATGATTCAGAGTAGGGATGGGACAGTTTTACGGTGCTCCTCAGCATTGACTGACTTCAATTACGGAGCTAAATCTCTGTTGAGACTTCAAAACCTGTTCATACTAACATTACGTAACTAGCTATGTATTGCTGTCGATGACAACCATCACTTTTGCGCACAAACCCGGTTGCTTTTTCAACACTCCGTGAGCGAATTTAGAAATGCGCACCATGTTGCTCCGAGCCCTGTAATTAGGGTACACAACTCCGGTCCTTTGGCTGCTAACGGGCCTAGATAAGGGCTTAAATGTCAGCGATGATTCGTCAATTGAAAACGAATTGTATGAACACTGTGGGCATTTGGATGTCAACAGCTCCCGACTACATTTGCCACCCCCTTAAATGGATGCACCAATAAATGCCCACACACATACTGACGCTGTTGGTGGTCCTGAAGGCCGGGTTTGGTGAGGCAGGTTGACTGTAACTCGAGAATGGTAAGCGTTATTTATTGATTTATCACCGATGGAGTACAGGCAAACTGCTTGTTTCTGCCATCGAGTTTTGGACTGTGAGATTCCCGCACCCTCCTGAGTCGGGTAAACATCCTTCTCTTTGCGCATATCTGGAGCATAGCTGAGCCCACCAGTACGCATGCCATCACCTCCCAGCCAGACAACCTGTTGGAAGCTTTTCTGCAGTGTGAGAGGCTTACGCTAGGCGGGATTTTCAGAGAATGCTGGGTCCGTACTACTAGCGGCACCTTACTCTGAAACGACGCTGTTCGAGCTTGTTTTTCTTATGGGTTAATGGCTTCTCTTTTCACTTTTTCATGTGTCGTCATAAATAAGAATAGCCCTCAGTGACGATGGTAGCCCTAAAGTTGACCGCAGGAAGAAACCTCTACTGCTTTTAATCTCCTTGAAGCTCATAAATGTCAATCTGTCTTTTTACTATATTTCGACCGTTTCCAGAACTGAATTCTTACAGTGAGCATCCTGAGGAGCTGGATGAAAGTAGATTACATCACCACACAGCAAAAAAAGCATGTTCAGTGTGCAGCTCACTTTAAAAACCCACGAATCGTGAGACAGTGTAAACAGGAAAATCGGGCTTAAAAAACCGAGGATATTTTCACCGAATATTTGTTCTCAGCACCGACTGTGGCTCTGCTCACACCATAGTACTTCTAGTGTCCTCTCGTGTTCACCCCCCCAAACAACTCACTTCAGAGTACCCCATGGAAAGACACTGATATGTGAAAGGATACTGAGGCGTTGTAGTCATACGTTCCCCCCTCGAACGGGTAATGCAAACAGTTTCGGAAAAACTGGGCACTCCAAGAGGGTGCTCCAAGGTGTTGCAGACACACTGTGTAATGATTAACAAACTTCGGTTAGATAAACTAGGTACAACCCTTAAACTCTGACTTTCTGAGGGAACGGAATAATACTGGAATTTCGGTTTTCGTATCTCGCTTGTAAAATAAGAACTAATGGTCTGATTCTCATGGAGACACTTGACTCTGTGGAGATTTCGTCCAGCATCTTTCTGAGGGAACGGAATAATACTGGAATTTCGGTTTTCGTATCTCGCTTGTAAAATAAGAACTAATGGTCTGATTCTCATGGAGACACTTGACTCTGTGGAGATTTCGTCCAGCATATACCGAAGAGTCGCGAAGCCGGCTTTCCCATCCTTATTGGGAATCAGCAGTAGTACGCATCTCCTGACACTACTAACAACTTTACTCAGTTTGGCCCTGAAGCGTCAGACAAGCATGCTTGATACCATCTTATTTAGATCGCCCCTAGCCCCTTCCATTATTTATGCACGCCAGGCTCACGGGAGCGACCTCATTGTTTTAGGCTATTGGTTGATATGCTCTTCGCCTAGATTGGAATTCACCTTCTCAATACCCGTTACAGTCAGGCCTCGTATTCTCTGGCAAGTTCCATCTGTACCAGATTCCACAATCTTCTGTTTACTGTGAGCGGGTTCCGGTTTATCCGACCCAGCCCGCACCCTGAGGAAGGTATCAGTCAATCAACAGCACCGTTGACTACTCCAATCTAGCAATCGAAGATGCCATACCGTTTGTCACTCATATGAGTACCTCTGCGTAAATCCTATCCATATGTACTGTACGGGTCAGAAACCTGACCGCTGCGCGTCGAGGACATCAAAAGACTCTCAGTGTTTGACGATCGGTGTATTCGGAGCATTGCCCGAATCTGATGGCAACAGCGGATCAGTAATGCTGAAGTTCGTCGAATAGTATTCGGAGGAAATGACTCATTCTTGATAGATGAACTCATCACACTGCATCGGTTGCGCTGTCTTGGCCAGGTGCTTCGTATGTCAGGCGACCACTTCCTCGAAAGGTCTCTTTTCGCACAACCACGTGAAGGGTGGAAGAGAGCCAGAGGCGGTCAAACAGTAATAACTTGGGAGCGGAGTATGGAAGCCAGTACCATCAAAATCAGTTGCGCTGGTCATTGCCGTCTTCCTTGATGGGGACCGCGAGAGGGGCCATATCAATGGTTAGAGACATTGTCAGATATGGTCCAGTCGTGCCCTCATTGCGCTCATGCATCCAAGCTATTGCCTTCACTACATAGCTCCCTTCCCAATCCCCCCACTTAACAGTCCACCTACAGTGCTGTATTTACGCACTAATTTATCAGCTCCCGTCTCTACTGCGCAGCTACCTACCCCACGTCGCCGAATCATTGGTGAACGAAACCGTGGCAGCTACAACCAATGTACGACAATTACGCGGTTATTACAGATGATGATGAGGATTCGGATGATTCGGATGATTCGGATGATGACGATGATATACCTGAACAGAGTCACTTATCCAAACCGAGCTAACTAGCTTGGCGTAAATTTGTTGTACAACGAAGGCCCCATTACAGTTGCGCGTCACCAAGGAAAGGCGCATGTTCGTACCTGAACGAAACTCAGGTCTGAGTTTCACAAGTGCATATTCAATCATTCATGGAGCGTGAACACTTAACCAGATATGTACCGTGTGCACTGGTTCCAGGACAACATATTAGCCGTCCGTAGACTGAGGAACCCAGCGAGCGTCACAAGATCACGCACGCAAGTTTCATTGTTTAAGAGTTGTCATCGTCTCTTAGCCAAACATCATTAACGCAGGACACGCCAATGTCAAGTCGAACGAATCACGAGCTCGATACTCCACATAGGTCGTTCTCAACTTCAATTCTGTTGGCACCAAACGACTCCGCTGCTGAGATTGTCTTGAAACTGGCTTATTCTAGACCGAGCCTTTGCAGTTCGCCGATTAAGCGTCTGTATGCTACTGAACTTCCTAGTCGCATCGGTGCCCCACCGTTGGTGAAAATTCATAAGGCTTTCACCACCAAACGTCATAGTCAAAGTGCCGAAGATCTCCCACAGTTGCCCAAGCCGAAAGTCAAGCTCGATACTCCACATAGGTCGTTCTCAACTTCAATTCTGTTGGCATCAAACGACTCCGCTGCTGAGATTGTCTTGAAACTGGCTTATTCTAGACCGAAGCCTTTGCGTTCGCCGATTAAGCGTCTGTATGCTACTGAACTTCCTAGTCGCATCGGTGCCCCACCGTTGGTGAAAATTCATAAGGCTTTCACCACCAAACGTCATAGTCAAAGTGCCGAAGATCTCCCACAGTTGGCCAAACCGAAAGTCAGTTTCTTAGTCGATGTGTGTTTCTATTTCAGTAATCCAGAGTGAGCGGTGCTCCAAGAGCCCTCTTCTTCTATTGGTTTCCGCTGGCCATTTAATAAAAACCGCTTGCGAAAGATGTCAACCACAGGCACGAGTGTTAATCGATCACATTTCACGATCACTAAGACGACCACTATTTGTCACGTGGTCATGCATCTTTCGCCAACCAGAGTAGTGTTCACCTCCCAACGAACACTGCAATAACCTAATTAGGTTACTGCACGTTGCAGCAATATAGTATCATCAGCTAATTGGGGTGATTCCCGAGGTTTAGGACATCGTGTACAACCTTTATATGACTGTATGGCAATCAGTCACAAGTGTTAGTGTTGTCAATTTCTCTAGATTGTCATCTTCTGACTTGAACTGATTATACTTGTGATAAAGATGCTGATAATGGGAGGTGACCCTTCTCATGCAACTGCTCCTACTACGGTACAACCCCAAACATTACCAAGATGCTTCATGTTCTCTTTTAGAGCAGTCATCTTACCTGAGCAATGAGCCTGTTGATATTGGAGAACCGAGGATAGTTGACTTTCAACAAATCCGCCGCTATCCGTACCAAAGCCTCATTGTCGACTAGGATAGTCACATCTGAGGTTTCGTCGGCAATATCACTAATAAGCATCGCATTGTATGGCTCCACAACGGAAGAAGACATTTCCCGTCCGGGATAGACAGCCATTTCAATTTTCGGGGTTTTTGTGTATTCTTGCTCGATTTCTTCAAGAAACTCTGTAATGGGTAATACCACAGGATAAGGCCTCTTTGTCTATCCATTAGGCAAATAACCAAAGGTAAGCTCATAAACAAGAGAAAACTTCTGCCACATTGCCAGCTGAATACATTTTCAAAGAGCTCCTACAACAGGACTTCAAGAGGATTACATTCCGATTTGACCACCTGGAAGGTAGAACTCTTGAACTTGTGCGCAAGCAAATATCCAGACTTCATGCAGATGAGCAATTGCTCTAAAAATGGGATCCAAGAAGGGTGGTTTGTGAATGCTTCAGGGTTGCACATTCGTTCTGGATCAGCTGTATTCATAGGATCCCTAGATTAAGTTCATATCTAGAAGCAGGTTGGACAAGCGGTTATTTATACGATGTTTAGGTAGTCAATAGACGTGAGACCAAAAACAGCGGGCATCATTGATTTGATGAGCGAAACCCGCCAGGATAGTGTAACTAGTAAAAGACGATAGGTGGAAAAAGTGTACAATCAGTAGTACAATAAACGTGAACGTGGCCCGAAGAAGTAATCCTTAGAGTCATACCGGAATGAAGCATAGAATCGTCCGACCCTTTGCGGCAGTTCTTGAAAAGCACCGGTGGATGATGTTGCGTGATAGAGGACAGTTTTCAAATATTACTAATCCTTAGAGTCATACCGGAATGAAGCACAGAATCGTCCGACCCTTCGCGGCAGTTCCTGAAAAGCACCAGTGGATGATGTTGTATGATAGAGGTCAGTTTTCAAATATTAAAACCAAAACAACGTGACAAACATGAGCTTCCTGCGTCACGCGCATTTATCACAATCTACACCTTCACCCTGGAATAGTACTTCGCGCACTGGAAACCCGAGAATTCCAGAACCCGACAGGAGTTAGGCTTTAGCGGATAATTTGTCAGCATCAAAACGTGAAAGTCGACTACATTTCCTTTCCCGCCTGCTCCTACGTGTCTCAAAAATCACGTAGTTGACACAACACGTGTAACACCGTGACATCAGCTGACTTCAGTAAGTTAAGTTTTTCACCTAACAAACCGTGCACCGGAGCACCAGATGCTACTGTTTCGCTAACAAATAAAAAGGATAAAAAGCAGAGGAGAGCAACGCGTCAGGGGCGATCGTCTAATAAGTTCGTTGATATCAAATATATCTGTTCTTCTACAGCTGAGTTTTCAGCAAAATTGGGAGTTGTGTTCCTTCAATAAAATATACCATGATCACGAATATGGTACCAAATGGGATTTTGTGGAGCATATTCTGTTGTGGAATATCCTAAACGAGAGATTCAACCGGGAATCAGTCGAGTTTGCCTTTAAAACCAAATTGGTATGCAAATGAGTGTATTCTGCGAAGTAAGGTTGAACAGGTCTTCACCAAAGCTACCAGCTGAGACCTTGATGGTGAGGTGGGCGCATCTGTAAGTAAGTTGGAGCACTGAATCCTTCAACAATGCGAACGACTTTAAGCATTCAGGCTGAATGGGATCATTGCACTAGTGCACGCCGTTTGAAGTTCCAAAACCAAAATTGCCCGCCGTTTAAGTACGTCACATATACCCTGAGGGCGCGATAGCTCAAGTGGTTTTAGTGTGAATTTACTGACTCGAAGGTTCGTCGTTCGAACCGGACCTCTGCCTCCCAACTTTCCCTGTCTAGGCTTGGGCAACCTGGCAGTATCCCAGCCCTCGTGCTTCCTTTGGGTGGCATGGCAGACAGGCACCAGATGGGTGGTTAGCCATCTTCTTATGTGGTGATCCTACTTGTGTAACGGGATTATGGCTCAGTTGACAAAACAGTGTGGCTGGTTTGTGGATTTGAATGCATTTTGTTGTCTGCCAAGGGAACATCAGTTTGGATATGATCAGCAGATGACGTTCTCATGAACAAAAGAGAACAACAACAACAACAGATGAAGAATGTCTAAACGAGATCGAGTCTCTCGTGAGAACCAAATGGATATGCAAATGAGTGTATTGATCGAAATCTGTCCAATTTGGGTTAAAGTAGAACAAAAGGTTGACGGAAACTCGGGGACCGCGCGATAAGCCTCAAGAAGAGCGAAACTGATAGTAAGCAGTCGAGGAGTTTTAAGAAAATTTGTGATTGGTTTCTTTTGTGTACTCAACAACTGTTTTTTGTCAGTAATCAGAGTGTTTTAACTGACCAATCAGGGGAGGGCTGATTGTGAATGAATTAAATGAAATTCACTGCATCCTAGTCAGCTGATCATGGGATGATTCTTTCCGTTGAAAAGCGTTTGACGGTCTTCCAGGAGCCCACAGGGTTCTATGGTCTAGTACTTGAACGCTTATCGGAAAACTATTCAGAATACTATAGCTCGTAAGGAGAACCGAGCGTACAGAGTCCGTAGTTTGTATTGCAAGTTTTCAGTGAATAGCCAATTTGTTCATTGCTTCCACCAGATTAACAGAGAGAGGCAGGCAACATGGGTTCGTTCGTTAACGAAGTTTATTCGCCGTAACTTTATCGTCTGCCAGAAGCCTCACCTCTGTGAACCTAGTGGTTCACAAGATTGTTCTAGATGGGAGAATAAAGATGCGAAACCCGTTCAGGCGTTCTAAACAAGTGGACAAGTTCCAGCATTCAGCTTAAGTGCTTAGCGCGTTCTCTTTGTGGCACAACATAACTCTGACCGTTCCCTACCAGACTCATCTTCGAAGGCTTTCAACCAAAATCTGCTGGCACTGAATGGTTCATTCAAATGTGACCGTGTATGGTAAGCTTAATTGTTCAACAGGATCGCTGATTAGGAAATTTCTGGGGGTGACAATTCAGCGTACGGAAAATCGGTAAGGTGCGGAGCGGTCCCATCTGCAGTTTCAAAATCTAAAAACTATCAGCCTTTGAATTCAATCACTGAGAGAAAGCTGAAACCCGTCTCAAGATCTCCCTATCGCATGAGACCCAAGCGTGGCATTTACTACTGTGTTTGTTTGGACCAGCTTGCTTTAATTCGTTTGAATCGTAGGGAAAAAAAGACCAAAGGTAAAAGAAAAAAGTAGTTCCACAGCCGGCGGTGCGCATTAACGACAGATTATCACTTTGGATTAAGGTGGAATGGAAAATTTGTGGAAGCCTTTCGTGAACCACACCAAGGTCGGATTTATGCAGCCAATTAGGAGGAAGCATGACTCCTTGTTTGGAGGGAAGACGTTTTCAAGTGGATTGCCAAACTTGACGAACAGATCAACAGCCACCTGATCAACAACCAGTCAAGTGAACGCTGCTTACTAAGACGCAAGGCTCGCCCCCCAAAATCCAACAACACAACAGCTCACTTACTGCAAGTGGTGCCCGACCCCGTTCCACCGCCGAAGGAATGATAGATAAAAATCGCCTGAAGGTTGTCTGCACGCTCTATTTCTTTTCTCAAGTACTTCATTGCGCTGGGTAACACACGCCTGGCGCACGAATAAAGTCCACGGGCAAAGTTGCTTGCCGCATCCTCCAGGTCAGTGATAAGGCTGTCTGGATTGAACAACTGACGATAAGCGCCCGATCTAATTTCATCTGAACGGAAAAGGACACATAGGGACTTTAACGGATATTTGGGGTGCGTAAATATTGGTCTGTTTTCCTTAACACTACTCACAGGGTTTGTGAAAACTCTTCAACAGCTCTCTGTCGTTTACGTCCTTCGTGGTGCCTATCAGGCAGGAGCAGTCTTCCGGCGGACGAAGATGGTCTTGGCTAGTCTAAATGCTTTCACTTGGTTTACGATTTGCATGCCATCATAAGCGGGTGAATAAGCCAGACATCGTTTCAGAGAGAACGTTTCAAAGTATATTTCACCCGAATAACAATAGCTTTTGTGACCTTAACGAAGTGTTTTTTCGAGAAGGAGCTTCCCTATGTGGATCTGCAAATCAATTACAAATCAAGGTGAGCCGACAAATAGCAAGGTGGGGCAAGGTGGACTGACGGAGTGAAAACTGAGCTGTCCAACAAATGAGTGAAATTTGAGCTAACTGCTCTTTTATGGTAGAGACTTATCATCTTCGAGGTATGTTCAGCTACCTTGAACATTGATTTTGTCACGGTGAGCAACATAGAATTACGTGATCTGAAATGAGTAAAGGTCTGAGAGAAAAGCTGCTAGCCTGTGTCGACGAGGGCCTTGGAATTATCTCCATGAAGTCGAACAAAGAAGTGTCCCGTCTCCGAAGATATCTGCCGTCTTGTGTTCTTGCTTGTTGAATAAGATGGTCAACAAAATCCAGCGCCCCTTCTTGTCCTCATGCATAGTGGATTTTACACAGAAGAATGCAAGTGTTTGGAAGTGAAATACTACTCAAAGGGTTGCTGAAAACTTTTCGAGAGTCCGCGAACACTCTTGCCCTTCTTGAGGCCCATCACGGGGAAGGGAACAATCCCGAGTTCCCGCCAACCTCCGTTACAACTGTAGGTCATCATAAACGAGAGATCCAATTGAATTCAGTTAAGTCTTCTGTCAAAACCAACTTGGTGTGCGGTATCTGTAGAGAACAGACTACGGTCCGCTCTTGTGAAGAGAGCACATCCAGCAAGCTGCGTCACGCGTAAGGGTGAGCAGTAAAGGATTCACCTAACCGAGAATAGAATCTTTGTCTGAAAAGTTCCCGATATGCTAGTAATTTTTCGTTGTCCCTCTTGAGACGTTTCAGCCTAACTGGGATTGACATCAACACTTACCAACAACAGTGGGCTCGGTGTCTAAGATGACAGTGCGTGGAACGTATTGACCATCACTGGTTTCTTTAAAATACGATGAAGCCGGGTCCGGAAGATCAGCGTCAACCTGAGTGTCGGTGGAATGAACCATTTTTCCATCCGGTCGAATACCGTGTTCCAAGCAGAATAACTCCCAACATGCAAATGACATTTGTGTTCCACATTGTCCTACGAAGCAGTTGACGATTTCGCCGTCCTGGCGTATTTATGGGAATCAAATAAACGGTTGTTTAAGAGCTCGGAAGCCACCATTCGGAATTCGTAAAACTGCCATAAAAGTATAACTTACGGGCATTGGTTCATATGGCTTAAAGGTCTCTCTGTAAGCAAACCTAGGGAGTGTGCTGTTTAAATTCCTCGCATTGCGATTGATCCGCGACCAGATCACGTGAACCTATTGCAAGTGAGCCAGTTGGAAGGCATTTGATGAATATTTTAGCTAACGGACGGTATACCAACGAACAACTCGCCAGAACCAACTAAGCTCACTCAGCATGGCAGTCGGGTTGGGAATCACCAGCATCGACAAAAAACACCTCTTTTTCTATTCTGCGAATAGCCTAGAACCGGCTGAAGCTAAAGAGTGCATTGCGCAAAAGCCGTTTTCAAAATGCGATGATAAAAAAGAGAAGAACACAGCGAGGGATCTATCTTGAGGCTAAATAACACTGACAGAAGTGTTATGTACAAGAGAACTGCATGCAGTTGAAATCTCATCCACCTTACACTTAGCTTTCATGAAAAAACATGCTGATTATTCCCCAGGCTTTGACGCTATGGCTCCTCTTAGGCGGTGACTACGCATTTTTAAAGTGGTGGGGAGCAGTCATCAGTGCATTCACACGTGGCTATTCACAAAATGAACAATTTGAGGTCTTACGTGTGTCAGTTTCAGCTCTTCTCAGCCAGCAACCACTGGCCAGTTGAAAAGATCACGTCCCTTCCGAGATCACGTGCTGCCCTAGATGACCTCAAAAACTAATACGTCCCGTGAACTTAAGGTCAGTTTAAAAGTAGAAGAGAAGTCTTTCCGCTGTGAACTCGCGTTGTATCCTTACGATAGTGGTTATAGTGCGAATTTACTGACCGGAAGGTCCGTGGTTCGAACCCGGCCTCTTGAACTCCCCTGTCTAGGCTTGGATGATCTGTAAGTATCCCAGCCTTCGTGTTAGATAAGACGGTCTCCCAGTGATGAACAAGCTTAAAATCGCCAATTTTTACTACTCCAACAATTCGAACACGACGTTCAGAACCATTGCTGACTTACTCTTCAGTTAGACCACTGTAGTTTTTCTGACGTACAATGGACACGTAAATGGAAATAACATGTAACTACGAGNGATTTCGTCATGAGACTCCGTGCATATATGAAGTTCGACGTATCAGACTTGCCATCATTATAGACCATGAAATGATATATCAAAGCGTAGCCTTGACGTTGTTTCCTCACGATACTACGAATTTCCAAGCCGGAAAAGAAGAAAGCAAACAGATGATTGCAAGTCATGTCTCACTAAGCATATGTAGCTTGATCAACCCCATGAAAGAACATCTCTCTTGATTCGCGTCCAGTAACAGTTAACTGGAGCTTGAAAATATGGGTAAAATTCGATCATATTAACGACTTGATGCTTTTTCGTCTGCAATGTCGTTACCTGATACCCGGTTGGCGTCGAAGTCGCGGTGAAGTTATAAGGTGGATCACGCATGTAAGACAACTTACCCAAGTTTACGCAGCACACAACACAGAATCTCAAGGTTACCAAATGTGCAGTTGTTCAACTAGTCCTGACGTTCTGGAATTGCACTGGTGCATATTTCAGGGGGTGTTTTTGGGGTTGCACGGTTTGTGCGTGGTGGTGCGTTGTACTATTGCCAACTGCTAATTGTGCGCTACCAGCATGTCTATTCTCATCCAATTACCCGAACAAGCGGACCTTTTCCAGATAACCTCCGCCACTGATTTCGTCATGAGACTCCGTGCATATATGAAGTTCGACGTATCAGACTTGCCATCATTATAGACCATGAAATGATATATCAAAGCGTAGCCTTGACGTTGTTTCCTCACGATACTACGAATTTCCAAGCCGGAAAAGAAGAAAGCAAACAGATGATTGCAAGTCATGTCTCACTAAGCATATGTAGCTTGATCAACCCCATGAAAGAACATCTCTCTTGATTCGCGTCCAGTAACAGTTAACTGGAGCTTGAAAATATGGGTAAAATTCGATCATATTAACGACTTGATGCTTTTTCGTCTGCAATGTCGTTACCTGATACCCGGTTGGCGTCGAAGTCGCGGTGAAGTTATGAGGTGGATCACGCATGTAAGACAACTTACCCAAGTTTACGCAGCACACAAAATAATTTCAAGGTTACAAAATTCGCACTTGTTCAACCAGTCCTGACGTTCTCGGAGTGCACTGGTGCGTATTTGAGTGGGTGTCTATGGGGCTGCACGGTTTGCGCGTTGTACTGGCGCGAACTGCTAAATTTACGCTACTGGCATGTCTATTCTCATCCGATTGCCCGAAAAAGCGGATGTTTTCCAGATAGGCCTCGCCACTAATGCAAAAAGTGCATGTGCGAAAAGTTAAGCCCCGCCACTTTTTGCCAGCTCCAATTTAGTGTACGCACACAACCATGATCCATTTCTGATGAAAACAATTGCTTATCCGCATCTACACTCATTTTGTGCAGAGATGTTCATGTATGCGGTGCCAGGTCGAACTGAGGCCACTTTGTTAGACACAATCCAGGCCTATATCGCTCCCGGCTCAATCATCATCTCCGATATGTGGGCATCATACCAAGGGATTGAAGCGACGATTGACATGAATTATACTCATGAAACGGTTAATCATATCGAAAGCTTTGTGCATCCAACGACTGAAGCTCACACACAAACCATCGAATCCCTACGGCACGTCTACAAGATGCAGAATAAACACCAATGCGGCACACGCCGATATTTAGTGGCCAGTTACTTGTGTGAGTTCGTTTGGAGGCAAAGGTACCGAAAAACATACCTTTTCATGCAAATTATTAATGACGCCCCAATTTCACCCTCTTCAATAAAAACTAAAAGTACAAATTACATGTCCTATTTCTTCTTATGTTTTTTGGGTGGTGGGGGTTAGTATTTTGGCGAAGCTTATCTGGAAAAGATCCCAAAAAGCTGCGAGAGATCCAAGTCACTGAATTTTCATTTAACATCTTTGTTATATCGCGAAATTTACGGTAGAGCCTTTTAGTTGGCTGTTCCTTTCAGTAAGCACTCACCACAGTGTGTCAGATGACGGATACTTGTTATTCTGGGCAATATGACACCACAGATGTCATTTTTGTGTCACATAATTTCAGAGATACATGCTGAGATTTTTTGGTGTGATGGAAGCCATATGAAGATTTACTGTTCTAGCTTATTTCCTGAAGATACTGGTTCCAGTCGATGTCATTCGGATGTCGGTTTGACGAATCGTCATTTAATGTGATCTTAGTTACCGTCATGACTATCACAGTGAGAACATTTTCCGTTTAGGATCAAAACAGATGAGGACCATCACGATCGGTATGTTTTACAAACTAGATTACTTGGTTTTGTTGCGAAAATCTGTCTACATCCTTTAAGGATACGATGAAGTTCCTTGCGAATCTGATCACAGGAGACCCCGGCATCAGGCAAGTTTGATCCACCAACAGCTGGTTTATTGATCAATATGACAAATTTGTAATTCTGCACAAAGACGATTCCACTCGCTTGATCTGATTACTGAAGTTAACACCTGCACCCTTGACAGCTACACCAGAAGAGAACACTGGTGCTTGATTACCAGACAACCGTGTCAGTTTTTTTGTTGAAACCTTATCGTGAAAAGGGAAAAAACTGGGACAGGAAGGAAGACCCGGAGTTAGCCTTCCATAGACAGAAGCGGTGCCTACACTTCATGCACTCGGGAACGCGATCTGGATAGGAATTGACAGCGTGAATGCCAGTGACATCGGTTAAGCGCCATATCGTCCAGTCAAGCATAGGGGGAAAACGTGGACCCTATTCTGGAAGACGGACAACACCAACAGCACCCAAACTTTTCGTAACGTGCTTCAATTCCTTCTGCCATGTCATATTCTCTCCACTTCCGAATTGGGAATGAAAAACAACGTTGTTCTCGGCCAGCAATAAGTCAGCATGTCGGCCAAGTGACCGTGTTGGATGCATCAAAAACTCATTTCGTGATTACTTCATTGCGATTTCGCCGGTTCCAGCGCAGCAAATACACGTTGGGGATGAGTTCCAAGGGTTCTGGTAGGTGTATAACAGATTACAGCAGAATGAAGGAGAATACACAAGTCCTAGACATCGTTGCTCCTATCCACATTCCAAGATCGACTCCATGTAATCTTGCTTCTCTGTGCTTGGCTGGAAATCTTGGGACTTATGTTCACGTTGTCCATGCCATCACCTCCTAGTTAGACCGTCCGGGTAATGCTTGGAGGTCCAGACGCTTCAGTTACGTCAGCAACGAGTTGTGATTGAAGCATTAGAGCTTCTTATGGCAAAAATGGATATACACAACATTACGTGGAATGACTGACGCGAACAGAAAAACCTTCCGGGGTAATAACCCGTTCTCATCATAAGAGGTTAGTACATATGTGACGAGTAATATTCTATCTGGTCGACGTTTCTCCGTTCTTGAAAACAGATCT